CTGGTGGTTCAAACGCACCAGCTACTCCTTGGAAGGAAGATGGGGCAATCTACTTCTGTAGTGATACTGTCTCGGAAACCCAAGGAGGGGTCGCTATGAGTCAGGTCTGACTCGACGGCACATAACAACAACAATAACAACAACAACAACTTTATTATTTTAGATGCTATCATAAATGGTAATGCTACTTAATTTCTTTTTCTGTTTACTTATTTCCAACATGTGGAAACCTGCATTTTATGTGTTGATCTTATACCCTGTCACCTTGCTGAATTTATTTATTAGTTCTAATAACTTTCTTGTGGATTCTTTGAGGGTTTTCTATATATAGGATAAGGTCATCTGCAAAAAGCTATGGTTTTTGCTTCCGCCTTCCCAGTTTAGATAGCTTTTTTTTTTTTTTGGTCCTCCTAGCCTAATTGCTGTGGCTACAACTTCTGGAACAATGTTGAACAGCAGTGGTGAAAGTGGGCATCCTGCCTTGTCCCTAATGTTAATGAAAAAGCTCTCAGCCTTTCTCCATTGAGTAGGATGTTAGCTGTGGATTTTTCATAAGTGCCCTTTATTATATTGAGGAATTTTCCTTCTATTCCTATCTTGTTGAGTGTTTTTATCATGGAAAGATACTGAATTTTGTCTAATGCCTTGTGGTGATCATTTTCTTTTATTTTGTTCTGTTACTGTAGTGTATTACATTGATTGATTTTCCAGTGTTGAACCATCCTTGCATTCCTGGGATAAATCTGCCTTAATCGTACCTACTCAACTCAAAACTTTAAGACTCAACTCAAAAAGGATCTTCTTTGAAATCTTTTCTGACTTCCTCAGGTAGTGTTAATTAAACTACTCTTTCCTTTGTTCCCAAGTGTGCAGTTACTGCAGTGGCTTAGAAAACAGTTGCAGAGAAATGATGAAGGCTTAAGCCAGATGGTGGGGTGTAAAATGATTGAGCGGTGACTGTGCAGAGCGTTTTTCACAGAGACTTGTCCAGTAAGAAGAGGAGCGACTGTTAACAAGATGGGATAGAAGGAGCAAGGAACATCTGTATAAAGGTGGGAAAGATATTAGCATTTTTATAGGCTGAGAGCAAGAATCAATGGAGGAGGAAAGAGGATAAAAATACAGAAGAAGAAGAATTGTTTTGGATTAGGACCCTGGAGGAGATGTGAGAGAATGGACTCAGAGTCAGAGGAGAAGGATTACCAGGAGAAGGTCAGTGTCATCCCCTGATTCACAAAGGAAGGATGGGTAAAAATTTAGATGATATGTAGGGGAGTGTGGTAGGGGAGTTAAAGAGCATGAGGCGTGTGGTATCCCATGGGCTGTGTTCTAGAAAGGGATTGGCAGTGGCTTCTGGGTAGGAGGAGGTGGGGTTAGCAATGTGCATGCATCTACATGGGTCTCAGTCTTCCCCCATTAGATGATTCACTTCTAGAAGCAGGGATTAGGGTCACTCAAGGTACAGGTGTGTGCTTTGCAACTCTAAGGAACACCACACACACAGCTATGATGTGAATGGTGTCCTCTAGAGTTGTGAGGTACACTACCTGAATAGTTGTGGTAGTTAAGGTTGTTGTCAACTTGGCTGGGCCTGGTTGAGTGTCTGGGCAGCTGGTGGTAGTTATTCCCCATGATGAGACTGGCAATCACCTCCATGGTGGGATCTACCACAAGCAGCTGAGTAGCTGCTTTAGGGATGTGGTCTGCTTATGGCTTGAACCCTGCATGTAGCAAGTCGTTGTTCAGCAGCCTGCCATGTTCTGCTGATCTTGGGACTTCCAGTGGACTTGAAGCAATGGCCTGCCATGTTGTTTCGTAATATTGGGGCTGTGCCTTTTTACTTGTTAACCTTGGGCTTGTCAGCCTTAGCAGCCAGCACCTGAGTGAAGAAAAATCCTCCAGCTTCAATGGGGTGGGAGCAGGAGGTAGAGCTGGAGCCCAAGGATGAGGGGCTCTCACCCATCCCCTAGGGCCTGGCACTTTGAACTCAGACTTCAAGCCTCCAAAATTATAGGAGAATAAACTCCTGTTTGTTCAAGCCATCCCATTTGTGGTATCTTCTGTAGAGCAGCATGTAGGTAACCAACGCAAGAACTACGTCCTGTGATCTCAGTAGGAGGTATGACATTGGTTAATTAATTAACTAACTATTCCTGGCATACAACAGAAAGGCTGGCACATATTTGTGTTCAATAAATACTTACTGAAGGAACAAAAGTGATAAAGATACAGCATACCATCTGTGTGGAATGTGAGAGCAAGAATTGTTGAGCAACATTAAGGGCCCAAATGTAAAACTATAAGTTTATAGAGATTACTGTGTGAGTGATTAAGCCATTTTATTCCTCCACATTCATGCAGGGTTTACATTAGCTTTACGCAAATAATTTTTTGTTGTTGTTCTTGTTTCTAAGAGAGAACTTCAAAAACTGGAATTTTCCCAATAATCGTTAAGTGTCTTTGCTGAGGGTCCAGATCGTACCTAACCTAGCAGGTAATGCTAATGAGGTGACTCTTGGGTGGGAGCTAGGCAGGCCAGCAAGACCTGTGGTATGATATTAACCTCATGATATCACCCAACCTGGGGAGAGGACTGGAATTTGCATTATGTAATGAGACCCCAATAAAAGCTCTGGACATGGACGCCCCATGGACTTCCTAGTTGGTAAAAGACATCATACATGGGAGGGTAGTGTGTCCCTTTTTGGGACGTGGAAGCTCTGTGTTGAGAACCACCCTGTCTTAGTTATGGAATACTGCTGTATCAGGAAACCACAGATGGGTGGCTTTCGTGAACAGAAATTTATTTTCCCATTGTTTAGGAAGGTAGAGTTCCAGATTCAGGGCACCAGCTCCGGGGGAAGGCTTTCCCTCTGTGTGGCTCTGGGGCAGGTCCTTGTCTCTTTTCCACTTCTGTTCCTTGGTGATCGTGGTGATCTTCATGTGGCACGGCATCTGTTTCCCCATCTGTATTTGCTTGCTTCATCTACGCTCTTAAATTCCCAAAAGATTGATTTAAGATACACCCTACACTTATACTGGCTCATTAACATAGCAAAGAAAACCCATTCTCACTATCAATGATATTGTTTGATAATCTCCACATTCCTTGGGATCACCTTTCTTTGGAATGGATACAAATATGGATCTCTTCTAGTCAGTTGGCCAGGTAGTTGTCTTCCATATCTCATGGCATAACTGAGTGAGTGCCTCCAGTGGGGTTTGTTGAAATATTTCAGTGGGTATTCTGTCAATTCCTGGAGCCTTGTTCTTTGCCAATTCCTTCATTGCAGCTTCAACTTTCTCCTTCAATACCATTGGTTCTAGATCATATGCCACCTCCTGAAATGGATTAAGATCTAACAAGTCTTTTTGGTACAATGATTCTGTGTATTCCTTCCATCTTCTTTTGATGTTTCCTGCATCATTCAATATTTTGCCCATAGAATCTTTCAATATTGCAACTAGAAGCTAATTTTTTTCCTCAGTTCTTTCAGCTTGAGAAATGCCAAGCGTGTTTCCTTTGGTTTTCTAACTCTAAGTCTTTGCACATTTCATCATAGTAATTGGCTTTGTCTGCTCAAGCTGCTCTTTGAAATCTTCAGCTCTTTTATCTTGTCATTTCTTCCATTTGCTTTAGCTACTCTCCAGTTAAGGGCAAGTTTCAGAGTCTCTTCTGTCATCCATTTTGGTCTTTTCTTCTTTTCTCATGTTTTTAGTGACTTCTTGCTTCCTTCATGGATGATGTTCTTGTATGATGTCATCCCACAATTCTTCTGGTTTTCAGTCATTGGTGTTCAATGCATCAAATCTATTCTTTAGATGGTCTCTAAATTCAGGAGGGATATATTCAAGATCATATTTTGGCTCTTGTGGACTTGTTTTAATTGTTTTTAACTTCAAGTTGAACTTGCATATGAGCAGTTGATGGTCTGTTCCACAATCAGCTTCTGACCTGGTTTTGGCTGAAGATATTGAGCTTTTCCATCGCCTCTGATTCTTGTGTGTTCCATCTGGTGAAGTCCATTTGTATAGCCACCATTTGTGTTGTTGAAAAAGGTATTTGCAATGAATAAGTCATTGGTCTTGCAAAATTCTACCATGCAATTTCCAGCATTATTTTTGTCACCAAGGCCAAATTTTCCAACTACTGGTGATTTTTCTTTGTTTCCAACTTTTGCATTCCAGTCATCAGTGATAATTAACACATCCTGATTGCATGTTTGGTCAGTTTCAGACTGCAGAAGTTGATAAAAATCTTAAGTGTCATCATCTTTGGCTTTGGTGGTTGGTACATAAATTTGAATAATAGTTGTATTAACTGGTCTTCCTTGTAGGCATATGGGTATTATCCTGTCACTGACAGCATTGTACTTCAGGACAGATCTTGAAACATCCTTTGTGATAATGAATGCTACGCCATTCCTCTTCAAATTGTCATTCCCAGCATAATAAATTATATGGTTGTCTGATTCAAAATGGCTAAAGGCAGTCCATTTCAGTTCACTGATGCCTAAGATATCAATCTTTATGCGTTCCATTTCATTTTTGACAACTTCCAATTTCCTAGATTCATACTTCATACATTCCATGTTCCAGCTGTTTCTCCTCAGTGTGAGTCGGGCCACATCAGCAAATGGGGGTCTCAAAAGCTTTACCTTACCCATATGAGTAAGGCTGGTTTTACTCTGGTGATGCAGCTCTTTCCAGTAGTATTTTGAGAGCCTTCTAACCTACGTGACTCATCCTCCTCCTCTGTATTGGACAGTGTTTCTGGACTATTCATAAAGTTGTGCAGTAATGTATCAGACAGTGTTTCTCTGCTATTCATAAGGTTTTTCCCGGCCAGTTCTTTGAGAAGTGGATGGCCTCTTCCTTCTTCCTAGTTTGTCACAGTCTGCAAGCCAGGCTCATATCTGTGCACCATGTGCACCCTGCTGGGTTTGAAACACCGGTGGCACTGCCTCAAGTCTCACAGCAACACGTCACCACAGTAGGACAAACTGACGGACAAGTTTGTCTCCCTTAGCTGTTGGAAACCTCTCCAACCTCCCCTCACCTGGATCCCTGTGGCTGACTCCTCTCTCTCTCTCTCTCTCTCTCTCTCTCTGTCCCCCTGGCCTTTTTCTCTCCTTTCTCCTGCTTTCCCACCTTGCCGCTTTGGGGTGTGCCCTGGGTTCCCTCCCCTCACCTGGATCCCTGCGGCTGACTCCTCCTCCTCCTTTTTTCTAATGATCCTCAGGTCTTTATGTTGTTGTTGTTATTTGCCGGCCCCGACTCATAGTGACCCCTCCTTGGGTTTCCGAGGCAGTATCACTGCGGAAGTAGGATTGCCCAACCTTCCTTCCAAGGAGTGGCTGGTGGATTTGAACTTAGGGTTACCTAAATGTCACCTAGCTCCTGTATGAACACAAGTGGTGAAGAACTTACTATCACTCAAGCAAATCTATTCTGTTTTCAGAGAGCACTAACCATTAGAAAGATAAGCCTATTGAGTCAATATATCTCTATATAAGATAAATTCTATCTATGCTGCTGGTCGATATCTCTAAGTTACATAGGACTGATGCAGCACCCCTTCCTTTTGACAGCCCTTCAATTGTCTGAAGCTGCCATGAGTCTTATTTTCTCTAAGCTCCACATCAACAACTCCTTTGCTTGTTCCAAATGTAACAGGTTTTTCATTCCTTTCAGGCTTGGCCACTGTCCTCCAAATGTGCTCAAATTTATCTTTTTTTTTTTTTTTTAGTAAAATTTTTATTGTGATTTGTGAAATTTTACAGGGCAGATTTGTTTTTCCATGCAACAGTTCATACACATTTTGTTTCTTGGCACTGATTATAATCCCCACAGTGTAGCAGCTCTCTTCCCACTTCTTCCCTGTGGTTACCCTTTCCTTGTGACCTTCTTACCTATGCATTCCTGCCTCCTTAGTTTTCTCCTTGCTCAAATGCTGCCCTTCTAATCTCCCATTGTTGGTTGTTCTTAGGAGTGCATCTCCCTGGTATCATTGTTCAACTTATAGGTCTTTCTAATGCTTGGATGAGAGTTAAGTCACTGGAGTGAGTTCAGTTTTAAGCCTTAAAGGTAACTAGAGGCTATAGTCTCGGGAGTTTCACCAGTCTCTGTCAGACTGGTAAGCCGAGTCTTTTTTTCAGATTTTGAAATTTTGTTCCACATTTTTCTCCCGCTCTACCCAGGATCTCCCATTTTGATTCATTTCCAAGTGGTTGACATTGGTAGCCAGGCACTATCTAGTTGTGCTCTCAAAGTTGTGTAGGCTGAAGTTCCTGTGGTCTATTTCTCCCTTGAACTAATTGTTTCCATGAGCCCTCTTCTTTGCTACAGTTGCAATGGCAGAATATCTTGCAACTTTTTTTTTTGCTTAGAACCTTTTTCCTCTTGCATTGACTCTCACATCATGTCATGGATTGAACTGTGTCTCTAAAAAATATGTGTCAACTTGGCTGGGTTATGATTCTCAATGAGCACCATTAAGCCTATTCAGTGGCTCGTAGATAGTCTGTACGTTAATCTGTCCTCAGGTTATTTGAGCACACTGCCTCTTTCTTAAGGGTAACTTGATTAATACATGCTATCGAAGCCCCGCCAGTTGCAGATTTTATCACTCTCAATCCATTTCCCTGTCCTGTATTTACCTGATGTAATTGTCACATTTGAGCAGCATGAATGCAGGGGCGTGGGGCGGGACAGAAGCATATTGTTAGTTGCAGTCCAGTTGATTCCAGCTGGTGGCGAAGCCGCATGTTACAGAGTAGAACTGCTCCATAGGGTTTGCTTGGCAGTGACCTTTATGGAATCAGATCACCAGGCCTTTTCTTCAAGAGTGCAACTGGGCGGGTTCAAACCACCAACCTTCAGGTTAGCAGCTGAGTGCACACCATTTGTGCCACCTAGGGGCCTTGTCGTTTGTAAAAACTGTTGTTGTTACGTGCCGTTGAGTTGGACCTCACTCATAGCGACCCCTCCTTGGGTTTCCGAGGCGGTATCACTACGGAAGTAGATTGCCCAACCTTCTTTCTGAGGAGTGGCTGGTGGGTTTGAACCGTCAGCCTTCTGGTTAGCAGTAAGTGTCTTAGGCGCTACACTACCAGAGCTCCTTTGTGAAAACTAGCATTGTATAAGGCTTCGGAGCTCTGCTGGTGCTGTAGTTAAACCAAAAGGTGGGTAGTTTGAAACCACCAGCCGAACTATAGGAGGAAAATGAGGCAGTCTGCTTCCATAAATATGTACAGCTTGGAAACCCTGACCTATAAGGATGATATGAGTCTGAATCAACTCCATGGCATTGGGTTTGGTTTTCTTGCAGCACTGTATAGAGCAATGTCTGGTAAACCGGCCAGAATCTATTAGTAAAGTTTTATTGGAACGCAGCCACGCCCACTCATTTACTTGTCGTCTCTGGCTGCTTTTACCTCTAACAGTAGAGGTGAATAATTGCAGCAGAGATCAAATACTTACCATCTGGCCCTTGAAGAAAGAACATGCCCGGCCTGAGTGTCAGAAAACCTGAGTCAAGCCCTGCTATTGACTGAGTGACGTTGGCCTAGTCACTTTACTCCTCAACCCTCAGTTTCTTCACCTGTAGAAAATAATAGTGATAACCCACACAGTTATTGGAAGAATTGAAGGTATGATCATTCGCTGTTTTTTTCAGGAATTGCTGTTGTTTGAGGATGTGGCTTTGTTCTTCACCAAAGAGGAGTGGGAAAACCTTGACTGGGCCCAGAAGTACCTCTACAGAGACGTTATGCTGGAGAATTACCAAAACATGGTCTTCCTGGGTAATGACTTGGTCTTGACGATCTAGCTCTGTCTGTGTGTTGTCAGAGTCCACCCAAGCCTTCAGCCCCTTCCCTCAAATTCCAGTCAGAAAAAGCAGGAAACTGGAAGTTTTTTCATAGCTTATTTGGCTACAAAAGTCTGACTTAAAACCATCGAGTGGCAGAACTGATTTGATCTGAAATGAAGCTAGTTTTTCCACTTGGTGTGTGTACCATAGTTAGCCTAAGAAATATCAGTGTGTTTGATTGAAGGTGCAGCTCCAAGCCCTGGTGGGGACATTATGTAATAAAAAAAATATATGTGCGAACACAACTGTCCCAAATCTGGAAAAACTCTGAATTCTGAAATACATCAATCCTCAGGGCTGTCCGTTGAGGGATTATGGCCCTGGGTTCTGAGTAAGTAGTTCAGACACACCTAATCCATTCTCCATCCCGACCCCACACCCACCTTTCATATCCACCTGTTAGACCTGCAGGAGTGGAACAGATGATGGCCGGTTTGGATTCCAAGGGCCAGCTGCTTATTCTCTTGAAAAGTCTCTTCTTGTCGTGAACACTTCTCGTGGGATTATCCACCAACCTCTGTTTTTCTGTAATGTTTATTTGCTTTTGTAACAGTATTACAGGGGCATACTCAAATACGTGGAAGGTACAGAAAAGTATCAAGGGAAGGGAAAAGCATTCAGGGGTAAACACTGTTAATATTTTGGAATAATTTTTTCCATTCTTTTTTCCTATGCTTTAAAAATGTGTGTGAGTGTATTCTGTAACCCATGATTATTTTTACATTTAACATTATAACATCAGCATTTTCCTTATATTACTAAAATCCCCCATAAATGTAATAAATGATCATAACATAATTCCACTCTGATACATGCCATTGAGTCGGATCCAACTCATAACGACCCCTCCTTGGGTTTCCGAGGCAGTATCACTACGGAAGTAGATTGCCCAACCTTCCTTCCGATGAGTGGCTAGTGTGTTTGAACTGCCAGCCTTCTGGTTAGCAGTCAAATAAATGCCTTAGGCACTACACCACCAGAGCTCCTGTGTGATACATAATATTTCATTATTTTCCCATTTAGGGAAACGCCACCACCACCTGGACTTTGTTTTTATTTGTTGGTTTGCTTGTGTGTATATCGTTTTCTGTGTTACGGTGTTCCAAAGGGTGTTTCTGACTATCAGTCTTTTTTTGCATTTCTGATTATTCCCCAAGAATGAGAATTTTGGTGTTAAAGGATAATGGGCACTTTAAACTCTTAATATACTATTGCTGAATAATTTTTCAAGAAAACTCATACTATTTTGTATATTGAACAGAGGTATTTGAGAGGGCTTCTTTTACTAAGGTGCTCTGGTGGTACCGTACTTAAGGCATTGGGCTGCTAACCAAAAGGTAGATGGTTTGAACCTACCAGCTACTCCACGGGAGAAAGATGAGTCAGTCTACTGCCTTAAGATTTACAGCCTTGGGACCCCAGCAGAGGTCGCTATGAGTTGGAATCAACTCAATAGCAGTGGGTTTGGTTTTGGGATTTTCTTTTACTGCAGTATCTATCACAGTGATCTATCACTGTGGTCCTTTAGAGATTTGACTAGTTACAAAAAGAGTAGGTTCATAACAGACGTTTTGGAAAATCCATCAATGGATGAAGTAGACAGTAAATAGCATCTGCAAGCCCATTGCCCAGAAATAACCACTGGTAACATTTTGGTTTACTTTTTTGGTTGTTTTTAAAAACAACAACAAAATGCTATAAATGAGTTTTGTATTGATTTAAAAATATGTAGGGAGCATTCTTCTATTTTAATAAATATTGTTTGAGCCCCTAGATTTTTAATAGCTGCATAATAAGTATGCCTTCCTAGTCCTTGTGTTATCATTCCCCAGGACATCAGCTTATTTCCAGTGTTGCACTGTTTTAACACTGTTGAACGTCTCTGGTACATTCATCTTTGTCCCAGTATTATTTTCCTAAGAGTGAAATGACCGGATCTGAGGATATGAATATTGTGCAGGCTTTCAAAAAGGATTGCCAAATTTTCACAAAGATTGTGCCAATTTCTATCCTCATCAGCCCTTTTAACCACCACCATCCTTATCTCTCTGCTTGCCACTTAGACCCAAAGGATTGAGACTGAGTTCCGGGACATCTCTCTGTAACTCACTAACCACCGCATCCCATTTATTTCTCCATGGGTAGGATTTCAGTTCCCCAAACCTGAGGTGATCTCTCAGCTGGAGGACTGGGAAGAGCCATGGATCCTGGATCTGCCGAGAGCTGGGAGTAGGAAGGCTTCCAGTAGTGCCTGCCCAGGTGGGTGAGGAAGAGACCCCGTCAAGTGGAATGGTCAAGAGGATGGAAGTGACATTAATCATGTCCCTTCTGTGTGCCAGGCACTGAGCCAGGTGCTTGGCATATATCTGCCCTTACCCCACTGCCCGCTGGAGGTGGTAGTTATGATCATCATCCCCATTTTCCAGATGAAGAAATGGAAAGATTAGGATGTCTGTTGACAGACATTGGGATTGACCTCAAGTGTCTGCAAAGCTTATCTTCCTTGTGCTGCAGTGTGGTATTTCTCTGAAGGTAGCCAGTCCAGTGTTTTCTGAATGACAACCACCCTGCGTCCTCCCTTAGTCTACTCTTATTATTTACCTTTTTGCTGTACTGTCCCTTGTTCTTTCTCTTCCGTTTGGTTTTCCATGTTCCTTCAGTATTCCTTGATGGCTTTTTTTCCTGATTGCCCGTTGACCCCTTTTCACATCCCTCTAGTGAACGTTTCTCAACCTCGGCCCTGCTGATATTTTGGGCAGGTGATTCTTAGCTTGGGGATGGAGGGTGCCCTGTGCAATGTAGGATGTCTAACGGTATCCCTGCCCTTTGCCCTTACGCCAGTAGCCTTACTCCATTGGTGCAGAAATGTCTGTGGACATTGCTTAGTATCCCCCAGGGAATAAAATCCACCATGGTTGAGAAGCACTGCTCTGTTCAGTTGGCTGTTGTGCCTGTTTTCCCTCTAGTTTCTTTTCTTTCTTGTACCTTCTCTATTTTTAAGGACTTTTTTCCACCCAGAACAATTACAAACGTGTGTATCTAGAAAGTATATAGTGTTCCCTCTCTTCCATTGATGTGACTGCTGATTCTGACCTGTGTGGCACGACCAGCAAGTTGTTCTTCTGGTAATGGCACACACTATTGTGCATTTTTCGTGTGTTGATGTAAAGAGCTCTTTTGTAATGAAGGCTTAGAGGACGATTATATTCACAATTTTGGCCTCTTGAGTCTAATAATGTAACCAAATAAGCACTTGGTCATTTCATTGTCTTATACCCCAACTAGTCAGTTTCTTGTCCTCTGTTATTTTTTTCTTTCTATAATGGACAGGTCATTCATGTGTTTTCTTTTCATTTATTTAGGTTCTGAAACCAGATACAAGACAAAAAAGCTAACCTCGATGCAGAACATTCCTGAAGAATTAGTGTCATGTAAAGTATCAGTGATAAAGCAAGAGAAGGCCAAGCGAACCTCTGAAAATTTCTACAAGTATGATGAGATTGTAGACCGTTTCAGACTTGCACTCCCTATTAGTAGTGATAGCTATAAGAAGGGCTTCCTTCAGAACTTAACTTTTCCTGAAGATCAGAATGCTCCTGCAGAGAAGCAGGACAGATATGAGGACTATGGGAAACCCTTCAATCAAATGTCACTGCTTTTTCAACATGAGCAGATTCTTACAAGACCAAAGTGTTACAAGTGCAGTGAATGTGGAATCGTCCTCAGGCGTGAGACGGATTTTGTTCAACATCAAAGAATTCACTCTTCAGAGAATCCTTTTGAGTGTAACATTTGCGGACAAGCCTTCAAACAGAAGTCAGCTCTCGCTGTCCATAAATACTGTCACCCACAGAAAAAGCCATATAAATGTCATGACTGTGGAAAGTTTTTCCGTCAGATCTCATATCTTGTTGAACACAAGAGGATTCATACCAAAGAAAAACCCTATAAATGTAGTGAATGTGAGAGAACATTTAGTCAGAATTCGACCCGTATTCGACATCAGTTAACCCATAGTGGAGAAAAACTCCACAAATGCCTCGAATGTGGGAAAGCCTTCAGTAGACACTCAACCCTTATGAGCCATCAGCAGATCCATACTAGACAGAACACCCATCAGTGTGGTGAATGTGGGCAGTGCTTTGGTCGGAACGTAGACCTTGTTCAGCATCGGAGAACCCACACCAAGGAGGAGTTCTTTCAATGTAGAGAATGTGGGAAAACGTTTAGCTTTAAGTCAAATCTTTATCGACACGAGGTCATTCATACTGGAGAGAGACCCTATAGATGTGACAAATGTGGGAAGTCTTTCAGTTGGCGCACAAGCCTTATTAAGCATCAAAGTACTCACAGAGGACAAATACCCACATGATGTTAGCAGCAAAAGCTCCCATTTAGAGATCAGAACGTAGTCACTGCTGTGAGTGTATGCAACTTGATTGTTTCCTGAAGTGTAATAAAAAGGAACTGAAATGGTGTTTCTGTGGGGACTCTCTTTTTATGGTTTCTCCTCTGCTATCGTCAAGAATTACTTTATAGAAAATGTAATAAGCTGTTGTATCTAGTTTCTCTTGAACCCCCGTCACTTCATTCCCTCCAGTTGAGGCAGAAGGGAGGCATACTAGGTTTGTTCTGTGGTTCCCCAACTTGGGGATTGTTTGATGGATTACAATCTCCCCCCTCCCCTTTTATTGTGATTTGGATGGAAGTTTACAGAGCAAATTCATTTTCCGTATAACAGTTCATACATATTTTGTTTCATGACATTGATTGCAGCCCCCACAATGTAACAGCTCTCTTCCTACTTCCACCCAGTGGTTACCTCTTCCCTATGTCCTTTTTTCCTGTGCATTCCTGCCCTCTGAACTATCTCCCTGTGCAAATACTGCCCTTCTGATCTCCCATTGTTGATTGTTCTAAGGAGTGTACCTACCTGGCATACCTTATATGCCTGTCTCTTGTTTGGCTGGAAGCCACGGGAATTCATTTCCAGGGGATTACGAACAATTTAAGAGTGTCTTGCTGTGGTTCGTACTGAAAAATACTGCACAGACTTTTAAAACAAAGGGCTACTTGTTAGCAATTAGTGAGATATGAAGAAATACTAAAAGTTATTCATAAACTAAAATTAGTATGCTACCAGATGCCACTGGGAGTTCTAAGTCAACCTTGGTGGCAGATGATGCTGTTGGTGCCTGCCTTACCGCTCCTGTGTTTCATCTGACCTACAGTACCTGTCTCTTTACCTGCAGGCTTTTTCTAAAACTCCTGCTGAGTAATGAACACATCATGGAAGCGGCCCTCAACACAATGGTGGATGGGAATGTAAATACTGGATCTCTCTCTTTATGGGCTCAAGATCTCCGAAGCATGTGTTTTGCACTGTTTCCCAGTTTCCCCCATGGGTTTACACACATTCACCCCTAATGGAAGCTCCTTTATTAACTGTCTTCCCTTTTCTGTGTCTCTTCTCTACTTCCCTACCAGTGTTTCCTCAACATTGAGGAGTCCTTGGGTAAAGGGAAGGCAGATTCTGAGGGAAAAAGCAGTAAAAATTGTTGTTGCCAAGTTGATTCTGATTCACGGCAGCCCTATGTATTACAACTGAATTGCTTCAATGGTCTTGGCTGGAAGATTATGGAAGATTTCCAGGTTTTTCTTATCCAGCATTGTTGGGTAGGTTCAAACCGCTAACCTTTATGTTAGTAGAAGAGTGCAAACCATTGGCACCACCAAGGGACTTGGGATGTGAGCAGTATGTACTTCTAAATGAAAATGGGGAAAATATCCATTTATAATAGTGACATCAAAGATTAGCAATACATTTTACAACAACAAAATCAAATGACTTAACCTAAAAAATTGTATTTTGCCAAGCAATCACCTATTTCTAAATTAATTTGGAATTTCCTGTTCTCTTTTTGCTTCATCATCTCTTCATTTCTACTAGTTGATAAATGATGACAAATGGAAAACTCTCCTTGTGTTTGAGATGAAAACTATAGTTGAGAATGTACTTGAACAAGGTACAAGGTGTTAAAAAAAAAAAAAAAAAAACTCCCTCAAGCAGAGGTACAATTTTCAGATTCCTGCTGAGTTATGTTTTCTTAGAGGACATCATCGTCACTAGCCATGATTGATACTTGTATGAACATACACATAGGTGAACATATCACTAGGGCAGTCACTCAATTTTTAAGAAAGTGCATTGACTAAAAGAACAATGAATGACTGAAGTGAATATTGAACATTCAGCTGAACTGATGTACCCAGAAGACCTGAGCAGACCTGGACCCCAGGAAGCCCTGTCTTTGTGCAGGTCACAAAGCACACTCACAGAAGGCACAGCCTTAGAACTTTTTTTTTTTTAACAACAATAAAACAACAGAGCCAACTACTTGACCATGGAAAGTAGCCTAGCTGATGAAATAGTTTGTATTTATGATTCTCTGCAGTGGTCAGTTAAAGCATCCAGGCATTCACCAGTCAGATTAATCGTCCTCCTTAAGGAAGGTACAAACATAGGAGAACTGTCCTGAATCCTCTGAGCTACAGGGACATAGCAGGGCCAGAGAGGCTTTGACACACACACACACACACAGTTTTTGAGGCGATTTCACTACAGAAGTAGATTGCCCAACCTTCCTTCTGCAGAGCGGCTGGTGGGTATGAACTGCCAGCCTTCTGGTTAGCAGTTAAGTGTCTTAGGCACTATGCTACCAGAGCTCCTTTAGTACACTGCCAGTATTGTAATTATTAGCTGCTTTTTTTTTTTTTTTTTTTTTTCTGGAATTGATGTCATTTGAGGAAGTGACTATTTCATCAGAGAGAAATGGAAAGACTTGAATTTGGCTTGGAAGGATCTCTGCAGAGAGATATTGCTGGACAATCATAGAAATGTAGTCTCTCCTTACACTTTGGCCTCGTTTGTGTGTTTCTTGGTACATACACATGTCTACAATCCCTTTTTTTCCTATTCCAAAATCTGAAAATCTCTGAAAGCAAGAATATTTTTTCATAACCCATTGGTTATAAACCTAACTTGATCAAAACTCATCTGTTGTTGTTGTTGTTGTTATGTGCCCTCGAGTCGGACCCGACTCATAGTGACCCCTCCTCGGGTTTCCGAGGCGGTATCACTACGGAAGTAGATTGCCCAATGTTCCTTCCGAGGAGTGGCTGGTGGGTTTGAACCACCAGCCTTCTGGTTAGCAATCAAGTGCCTTAAGCACTATGCTACCAGAGCTCACCTGGTGGTGAAAGAAATAAAAATTTTATATTCTTTATCCCAATTTGTGCATATATTTGTACATTTTATTCCAGAAATTAATATTTCATGTTGGATTATGGTATACTTCCTCAATTCCTAGGAAGTATTGTATAACATGTGTCACCTTTCTAAAAACTGGAAATTCTGATTTTTGAAAGACATATAGCCCAAAGGCCTTATAAAGGGCTTTGGAATGTGCATGGTAGAGTTTTGTTTTAAAGCTCAGAGTAATGTCATTCTAACCCGCTCCCTCCCAGCCTGCCCACTAAAAATGAATGCCTTGAGTAGGGTATAGGTCATATTAATGAAGAGTAGCATCCCTACCAAGGAGCTCTGGTGGCATAGTGCCTAAGGCATTTGATGCTAACCAGAAGGTTGGCAGTTCATACCCACCAGCCACTCTGCAGAAGGAAGATGAGGCAATCTACTTCCATAAAGATTTACTGCCTTGGAAACCCAATGGGGGTCACTATGAGTCTGAACTGACTTGATGGCAGTGAGTTTAGTTTGGAGTTTAGCATCCGTACTATTAGACTGACAATTACTTCCATCTGAGGGCTATCTTTCACCCATTGCCAAGTGGAAGCCATAAAACTCTCTCTCTGATAAAAAGTAAAAAGTGATACGATGCTGTTGGTTGTGTAGATGAGAACTGACATGGAAATCAGCAGCAATTTGACCTGCTGGAAGACAGAAAAACAAGAGCCTCAATTACAGACTGTACATTTAGCTGTAAAACTAGGGATCTACCCTAAATGCTATTTGAGGATCATTATGGAATTTTGGGTTGTGACCAACAGTTAAGCCATATAGTTTTGAACAGTTGGAAAATTAAAAAGTAATGTGTGGACCCAATTATGATAGGCCCTTTGCCCACCAAAAGAATCAAGCTGTGGGCTCTGATGGGGACAGGAATGCCAAGAGAGATGCCTTCAGTCCAACCATTGGAAATGACAATGTGGGTATCTGTGTATACAAGATGAGTGGCCACCCAAGATGAATGAGAAAAGAGGTCCTAGGTCATGCTGTGATGGTCTAATAATCCCATGTTTCTTTGTCACAACAATGGTTGCCAAAGACTGTTAGAATCCTGCCAGAAGACACGAATAGTGGGGGATTCCTCAATGTGTGTGTGTGTGCGTGTGGGGGGCATGCCTTGCACCACCCCTGGAGCCTTGCCCAATTCCTACACACCAAATGGAGACCCCCCACTTCGCTCGGAGGATTTGCAACTCTCTGGTCACTCACCAAGGAGCTCTGGTGTTGTAGTTGTTAAAACACTGAGCTGCTAGCTAAAGGTTGACAGTTGCAATCCACCAGAGAAAGATGAGGTGGTATAAGATTTATAACCTTGGAAACCCTATGGGCAGTTTTCTACCCTGCTCTAAAGGGTTGCTATGAGTCATAGTTGACTGGATGGCAGTGGGCAAAGCCTCCTGTCTCCCCTGGTGCAGGCTACCAAGCCCAGAGTGCTCAGATTCCTGCCCTGTGGGCCCAAGGAGTATCATTTTTATTGGATGTCAACCCAAGTAGTGTATAGGGCCTTCCAGAATAGAATTTAGAAAATTGTAAAACGAAAACAACATATTTGTATGAATCTAGGAAAATTGGAAGCTGTTAAAAATGAAATGGAATGCATAAAGATTGATGGATCCTAGGCATCAGTAAGCTGAAATGGACTGGTTTTGGCTATTTTGAATCAGACAACCATATGATCTACTATACCAGGAATGACAAATTGAAGAGGAATAGTGTGGCATTCATCATCACAAAGAATGTTTCAAGATCTGTCCTGAAGTACAATGCTGTCAGTGATAGAATAATATCCATACACCTACAAGGAAGACCAATTACTACTACTATTATTCAAATTTACACACCAACCACCAAAGCCAAAGATGAGGAAATTGAAGATTTTTACCAACTCCTGCAGTCTGAAATTGACCAAACGTGCAATCAAGATGTATTAATTATCACTGGGGATTGGAATGCAAAAGTTGATAACAAAAAAGAATCACTGGTAGTTGGAAAATATGGCCTTGGTGATAGAAATAATGCTGGAGATCACATGATAGAATGTTGCAAGACCAGTGACTTATTCA